GAATAACAATCTCGCGATTGCTTAAAAAGAGAGCGACACATTTATAATCCAATCCCGAGGTTAACAGAAAGTCGATCTCAGTAACTGTCGCCCAGAATCTTATTACTTTCTCAACTCCTCAGTCATCTACAATCTTATTACGCTTTCAATCTCTCAGGACTTCTTGATATCGAAATGTTGTCGTCTATTGTATGAAAGGACCCAGATGAGATCGAATTAGGTGCTACTCCGTGTGGCCGTCATGCAAAAGCAGGAGTACTCGCGTAATTTTCAAACACCAAAACAGAACTTTCACAACTCAAAAATCTACTGATGACATTATACAGCTCGTCTGAACACATATCTGAGCTAAATTCTACCTCTGCATTTTCGTCCTGTTTATCCTCACCATTTTCCCAAATACTAATATTGTAAATGGATTCGCTATTGCTTGATCTCTATTTAAGCACTAACTAGTATAGTGCGCAGTAGTTATACTACTATAGTTGCCAAGCAATCTAAATGACGATCTTCAAGAAACAATGTTACATCCAGAAATTTATTTATAAACTCCTATGATACATGATTCTCAGCAGTTTTGATGTTCACAAATTCTGTCTGTTTGCTGCTTCGTCAACCCTCCAAGAAAATCAATAAAGAAAAACGAAAACAATGCAACTATCCAGCTTACTAACCTCTTCCACAGCATTGGGGCCAACCTCCCGTATTGTCATGTGGTACAGTCTTGCCATTCTCAGCTCAACAGCAAATTCTAGTTTTCGTATCAGCGGCATATTTGCTCCGATCAGGTACGACTCAACTTCACGTAAGACCGTAAGCATGCGATATTGTGATGCTAATATACTCATCACCAGAAAATTGTCTCTTAAAAGGTTGGAAATTTTCAACATAACATTGTTGACAACCTAGTAATCTGAAAGTTCCACCGACTTGTGAATTACAATAGATCCAAAACGAGCCGTAGAATGCATTAAAACCTTCATGTCTTCCGGCGATACTTCCGTGACTTCTACAAAATCGAGGCCAGCTTCCTAAACGAAGTTAAAGTTTTCAAATAATCTACTTCCCTTTAAATAACAGTGCAGGCACATAGTTGAATTTGCCGCAGCAGTGTGAAAACACAAAAAGTATCGGAGTAACTAACTTGTTTTACTTTCCAGCTAGTAAACAACGGCCCACCGAGCTCAGCTAGAAGTCTCAAGTCAACGTAAAAATTGTACCGTCCACACTGAAAAGTGCAAGAAGCGATGTTGTACATGTGACCACTGCACAAATTAAAACAATAAAAGCAGCATAAAAAATCAATGCTAAACGAGCATTATGTTTCCCATCCGTCATTGTTCCGTTTTGTGGCTAGCCAAAAGGAATACGTGGAATTTATCATCGACCTTAAACTCTTGGTTTTTGGCAATAAAAATGATTTCTTGATAACTAGACGACTTCAGGAGCTGTAAATACGATAGAATTGCAGAAGGAGACTTTGTTCTACAGTTCAGTTTATGGAAGCGAATGATATGTGTGCTACAACCTACTGTTTTATTATGGTCTATGAAGAAAACGCACTCCTGGCAGTATACGGAAGTATTTCGCAAAATATGCTAGGTCTGTCTCAGCAATTTTATATCTGCACATTCCATACAATAACCACAACGATTAAAACGAAATAGTTAACTACTGGTGAAGTTAACACTCAAAGAACGTTTTCCAAAAGGATTTTGTTTAAATCACTAAGTCTAGAAAACGGCTTTTGTGGTTTCGCTCCAACTGTTTTGATATACTTTGAATTAGCTATCGAATGGATATACACAATGCGGTGAGGAGAAACTTCTGGAACACAGTAAAGTGAGAATGGACACTATAATGCCCATACCGCTGCAAATGAAATACATATACAAAATTCATAAAACTCATAAATGATAAAGCTCTCGGCGATTATCAACCCCTAAGGGATGCGCCACACATTCGACTTCATTCAGCATCGTTTGCAGTTGATTGAATGCATATATGGACTTTACAATGACTCGCGATGGCCTACCGATTTACCGAACCAGTGTTGCTATCCTCTCAGACAAGTACTAATTTGCTGACCCCGGAGGAATGAAAGGCTTGGTGCGCCACGGGAGCGGGAATGGATCCCATGTGTATTGCAGGGCGCCTCCAACCACCGCAGTACATGTGCCCATGTATATGTATATATATATATATATATATATATATATATATATTTGTACATATACGCAGGTGTATGTATACATGCACGTATACGTGCACATATGTATATATACATCGGTCTACTTGCTGATTTAAGCATAATGCAGATACTGATACTCTCGAAATTTGGTGTTTTTGTTCCTATGCTATAACACATTTGGAAAAGTCATTCAGAGGAAGAAGAAAAATCCTTGCCATAAAACTTTCGATGTAACAGCGTTATCCACAGGAAAGTGTTAACGGTTTCTTTAAACATTCATAATGGTTATTCACAAAATTATTTCATAGAGACATTTTTCAAGAGAAAACTATTGCGGCTTAAGCAGTACAGGAAGAGACGATAGTGGTTTTCTTCGAATTCTGGTCTTTCCCCTATTAAATATTATTCGATCACACTATTGGTTTCTAAATACAGTGCTCCACAAGTTCAACTAACGGATCTAACTTACTCGAACATCAAAATTCCTGTACGCTGTTGGGCGACTTAAATTCACAGGTGAAAGGATTTGCACTGTGGCTGCCATAAGACTTATCGCACCACTACTGCTGGTATGTCTCTCTAACACAACCTTATCAGGTTCCCATAAGTCCTTTTTCATCTGCAACACAACGGTAGTACAAATGTTCTCCTTAGAATATGAACCAGCTTGATAAGATTACCAACTTGCCTCAAAGGTTTCCTCATCAACAACCAGTACATAGTCCACTAAAATCGCACATTCAGTCAGTTCTGAAGGAAGAATCCGAACAGTGATTGTGTTCATCCCAGCAAGCTCTCTTACCTTTAAAAATATACAACCAGAAATAGAAAGCGATAGTGTAGTTGTTGGAATTCCCCATGCATTGCATTCATTTCAAAATGTGCAATTCTTCTCAATCCATAAATTCCACAAAGACGTTACAAGTTGAGGTTGAATTGGGAACATTAAAACTACCTAAGTGGTAATTTAGCTTGCAGTGATTGGAAAAACCCAAAGGAAACACGAATTCAGAACGAATTTTGAACAAACTGACGGTCACAGAGTGAATGAACCCTGGACATTCTCTGATTTCTTACGTAGACATTCCTTACACATACTTATTTATTTCTTTATTCCTGTCACTTGGAAACTACACAGACACAAGAAACTTCGCAATACCCATGAAGAGTTTCAATACCTGAAACCGGCAAGAAAAACTGGTCAAATAGATTTCCCAGTGGAAGTTAAGGCAAATCACCTCAACTTCTAGTGTCAGCATCTCGAAATTTCCCTCTACCTTTTGCTTCTTCGTACTTGATAGTATAATTGTGGTATAATTATCCATGCCTAAAATAACAATGTTCTACTGTTTCCGATCACATGTAACCAAATTCACGGCGTAGTTTGCAAAGACATAAGCACTGGATCACTGTAAGTTATCATGTGAACACACTATGATTCGAAAACGTCTACGAACGAAGAACAATGCAGTGACCATCATGAATGGTTACGTTTCTTGTCTAGTAAAGAAAAAACGAGCATACTAGAAAACTAAAGAACATCTCTCCTATACAAACAATGTACTTCACAATAGCACCTTGAATCCTTTTTCCATTCACAAACTAATCAACAGCCTTAAGAATAGCCAAACACCAGGAATACACTCGAATACACTCACCAACGGTTCCTAGTCGTCACGAAAAGCTGAAAATAGGAATTGACTACCACAAAGGCACAAAATTTAACAAGATGTCCTCTCAATGATATATACTATGTTTCCCAATTCAACTTTTAAAATCAAGGGATAAGGCCAGTTTATGCGCAACTTTATACATTGATAAGTAAAGTACAATGTCCTAAATTGCTCTAACATTACGCAACTTTTTCAACGACAAGAAGTAACAAAAACAATAATAAAACGAAGCATAGTGAGCAGTAGGCAATCTATGGATAAAACATCGCACGGATAAATTTCGCTGAACATCCAAGCATTCATTGGCTAACGAGATGATTGTCTGCAAGACTATGTACTCCTAGGCTTTTCGCTAACACTGGTAAGTCTGAATATTCAACAATGATGTTGCAAGTCTTCTCGAAATCTTGAACGTCATCAAAACGGAGCGAGAGATTAAAACGGTCGTTTTCGAGTTGCGAAGGTAACTTTCACTTCGCCATTGAATTCTGCTGCGATACGGATGCAAGTCGGCCGTCGCAGACGAAATATTGCTCAGATTGGTTTATAGAGCAAAGTCGTCACATATTTCTTGCGATACCTAAGCACAAATGGTTTCAAACACACCTGGTACCTACAAATGCTTTCCGTGAAACATAATAGAAGAAAATCATTATGCATCTTGTTACTTCATTCCCAAAAGTCCTGTGAAAGGAAGTCAACATTCCACGTAAATTAAGGTTTACTATAGGTCGGAAACCTTAGGCTTCGTTTGACTTGCCATTTCAACAAACTCATCACAGCGCGTGTTCGTTCTCCATTGCATACACCTGTGGTCCGGAGTTTTGCAAATATCTCAGCATTTCATACGAGTTATATTTCGCAAACATACCCTGCCATTAAGAAGAAAAGGCAGTAAATAAAAGAGTTAAAACTCATCACTCTCCAATTAACGTTCGATCACAATTCTGGCTCAATTTTATTGCTAATTATTCCTTCAACTTCTACATCCATGCACTGACCCATGTTCCCATGCTAATCTTCTTACTTATTCTTGTCTCGCAACTAATTTAGTACAATACTCTTATCAATTAAGTACAAACTTTGAAATTAACACCGCAAGCATTAAGGGGCCGCAACTACACAATCCTTAAGCGCTAACATATTGGCAGATAAATTAATCGCATAAATCTAAAACTTTCTCACCGATGGGTAGCGGATAGCACCATAACACCGTCTTTGATCGATAAAGCGTAAAGATGATTCAGCATGACATGATTCGGTTCGGGCAGTACATTTGGATCACACTGGACTGGAGTATCCTTGTTGAGTATCACCTGAGAAACACATCTGTCCGGTTAATATAAACATAAATTTATAAAATTAAACTAAAGTAAACAAAGAGTCTAAATAAATGGTCCAACGGGGCGCATAATCACTATGCCGCGTCTTCCTTACAATATAACAGTTTCCTTGATGGCCTATACGAAAACGGAGGCAAGTAAAACACCTGGAGAAGATGCGGAGGCAGAGCTGGCGGGTTGTGTGTCTTAGCGAATTCGGATCGTTCTGGGATCTCTTGCGAGAATGTGCGTAATTTCTCCAGTTCCCTTAAAAAACGTACAGAACCGTATAAAAAATATTTCAACAAGTAAAAAATCTAATATTAAAATTTACCTAATAGCCACTACGTCCCGAGATTTATCTATAAAGTAATCGCTAAAGTTATACTATTTGCGCAAACACTTCAAATTGACCTGTCTTCTCGCATTTCGTAAATGTAATAGTGGCGTCTAAATGTCTACTTAACATACAAAGTGTTACTCTGGCACTAACCTATCATTTGGAGTATCATGGGACGGCTGATGACTGGAAGCTCCTCGGAGAGCTTCTCCAGCATTTGAAGACGCTAGATCCTTATCAAGCGCATCAAACACCTATCAATGAACCCAGTATTGTCTGAAGACATTACCACAAATATGCTCAAAACTTTCATTATTATGAAAAGAGCGTGCAACAGCAACTTTTGGAACTCAATAATTTTCTAAAAGGAGTCTGAAACATGTATTCTAGAAGTGTTAAAAAAGTGTAAATAGAAGGAAAATTTAGAAGTCTATACAAACAATATAAACTTTCTAACCTCAAAGTCTTCTTCATCAATCGACATCACGTTGTTCTCTCCGCCAAGATTGTTGTTCGTTTTTGGTTGATTATTGTCAACCACCCACTTATTATCGACCATGAATTTGTATTCATGATGACCTGAACATCATTTCCAACTAGAAAAAACATTTTGAGCTACAAAGTAACTAGTCTTTCAGTAATTAATTAACAAAGGCTAAAGCTCCAGGCGTTGATCTATCACTGAGGGATGTACCATGCATTAGACCTCATTAAGCATCTCTGGAAGTGTTTGAATGCATATCTCGCCTTTACAATGACTCGCGGTGGCCTGCCGATGTATCGAGCCAGTACTGCTATCTTCCCAGATTAGTCTGGTACCAATTTGCCGATCCCGGAGGAACGGAGGACTTCCTTTGGCGGGCCTGGGACGCGGATATCGATCCCATGTGTATTGCGGAGCGCCTCCGACCACTCAGCTACACAGGTCGCGTTTCAGCAACTATTTCCAAGAATCACAAGCCACTCTGCAGTGATTAAAAATCGCTTGCGCCGATCGATATGAGAAACAATGGCGCCCGGTCCTTAATATTTGCATGCGCGTCCAGAATTTCATTTACGCTCCCCGAAATGCTCTCGTTTAATAACCTGGTAGATATATGACGTATAAAAAGTACACTTGCATCGTTTGAAACTATATTTCATGATGATAACGATACTGAAATATTTGCAAAACTCGGGATCGCAGGTGTCTGCAATAGGAATCGAACCTGTTATTACCTCCTGCGGGAGCTAACGTATTCATAACCACACCCTGCGGGCTCCTCATTTCACCTTCCTACCAGCCGTGCTTTATGGGAGCTATATTCTATACCTTGTCGCGTGCCAGAGCTACACTTCTGCAGCACGGGAGACATGAAAAGCAACAAATTTTTGCTGGATTCAAAAAAAAACGCGAAAACCTGGACGTAACTAAAGGGCTCCATTTGGGGTTCATGTGGCATATTTGCTTTAGACCGCTTTACATATACTTCTAAGCTTGAACGTGCCAGAAAGGTTTCACCTAACCGACATGCAAGACATAATCCGGATACACCATAGATCACCATATACGTTTATACGAATATGTGTATTCGAAAGATGCAAACTGATCAAGCGTTGAAGAAACTAAGAGCTTATCTTCTGAACCCAAGTATAATTTCCGGTTCGTAAGTAGTCGCTTTAAACACAACAATGAACAGGAATTCCATCACATAAGAGCACATTCATGTCATAAAAGTGATACAGCCATAAATTCTAACACTGAAAACACAAAACCAGCGACGTACCAGGACTCAGTTCAAGAATTGTGCTAAAGTCGTTATCCGACTTGACGAGAGGGATCTTATGACGCCAACCATCCCATGAACCGCATATGAATACCGAGCGAGGCTGACTAGATAAATAACTATTGTCTATCAACAAGTGAATATAGACGCGAGGCATTCTTTAATAACTACAAAAAAGCATTATAAACGTCGAAAGCGAAATTCATGAAACAAAAAGCGAATCTGAAGAGAAGCGGATGAAAATTGGAGCAGCGTTCCTTTCGCAAGTAAAAACTAGGAAAACCCACGAAAGTTATGACGCTCTCTTAAAAAATTTCGAGACTACGCGTAAAAACATCAGTAGAAAGGACGGATAAGGTATGAAAACCACCGCGAAGTACTGTGTTCTTAACCATAAGCTACCTAGAACCGACCTAGTCGCGGAGCAGTGCCATTTGAAAACCACAGGATACTCATTTGTTTCCTTGAATTGCACAGTCGGTGCCACACCACCTTCCATGTCGTCATCATTTTTCGCAATTTTAACCTTAAAGCATCCATTCAAAATTGCAGAAGCAAAGATCTGGCGAGATGTACTGTAAAGTAGATTTAACAACTCAAAGTCGAGGGCACTTATCATGTGACTAAAAACGTCGATAATCATCTCACCTGCACAGGACATCCATCTTCAGGATTAGAACTGCTCTGAGTATTTGTAGTGAAAGCACGACTGCGTCCAGGAGTGGTCACGCCACCTAAACCTGAGGCGGTTGAATATACTGCAAAGCAAAGTGTTGAAACAAGTCAGATAATAGAAAAATTTCACTGAAATGAAGAAACCGCAGATCTTCATAGTGATTCTATGCAATGATATTCACAAAAAAGATGCGAAGAAAGACAAGTTTTCAGATAATCCTAGATCTCTAAAACTATGTAGTCATCGGTGATGTATTCAACCGACATTTATGAAAAGTTGTGAAAAAATTTCAAACGAAAGTTGATAAATAAAGAGGATAAAGCTCTTGGCGTTATCAGTACGAGAGGGATACGCCATGCGTTCGACTTCATTAAGCGTCGTTGCAGGTAAATGGATGTATATCTGGCTTTTGCAGCGACTCGCGGTGTCTTATCGATGTATCGAGAGAGTACTGCTATTCTCGCATATGAGTCTGGTACCAATTTTCCGAACCCGGAGGGATGGATGCCTTGGTGAGCCTTGTGCGGGGGGATCGAGCCCATGTGTACTGCGGGGCGCCTCCAAGCGCCCTCTCAAGTTGATTCATTGTACGAATTAGGGTATTCAATAGGTGTGGCGTAAGAAAGCGAAAACAGAAACCAAACATCACCAAAGGGAAAAGAGAACGACCACTCAGTACCAAGATCACAGGAGTCAACTTCGGAAAAAAAATATGCAAAACAACTCACCGGTATTACCCTCACCAGGACGATCACGTTTATTGAAACCAGTGGGTTGATTGTTCCCCATGAAAACCTTGAAAAAGCTGAATATTATGCAAAAAGACAACCAAATCAATCATGAGTGCACAGGCACTCTCACGACGGTCCAACCGATAGAAAACATTGAATAACTATCAAAAGTCAAACTAGCTTCGGAGTAGAAGCAAAACGAGTACTAACACAAGTACTAGCAATATTTAAAAAATTAAAACAAAAAGAAGTCCTCTGAAAGAAAAAAGGACGACGAAAATCCCGATCTCACCATCGCCTTATTTTGTTCAATATCGGCAAAGACCCAGAGCAGCCGCCGTAGCAAAACATGCGAAAGAATTTCCGCAGTTGCAGACAAATTGATAATACAGTTTCCATCTACAATATATCATGCCCATTCTTCATGCAAATAGGGACTAACTTGTCGCGTCTTTGGATTGAGCTTAATTTCCCAAGCTTTCAGCTGTTTTTCAAATATCGGTGTTTCGAGATAATCGATTGGAATGGTTGTTTTCTTCTTGACATGCTTAACATGTTCGGTAGCAGAAGTGTGGTGTGAACTTCTATTCATTTGCATGCTAAACACTGAAAACGTTTAGAACGTGAATATGATTGTTCACGAAACAGTATGCGTAGGATATGTCTACCTGCCTTTTCAGATTGCTAAGCCTACACGAGGTTGTTACAGGACTTTTATTCGGTTGACATTTCGGCGTCTTCGTCTTCATCAGAGCTGATGACCTGACTCGATGGTGCACTGGTAAAACTGTAACTAAATAAAACTTATCTAAGAACCTCGTGCTAGCTTGTCAATCGAGAAAGGTATTGATTATTACTACCGAGGTTAAATGACGGTCCGATTGAGAGTGTCGAAATACTTCGAATTGTTGTTACTCGAGTAAGACAGATGATCCACCTAGGCGTCTGTGCGAAAAGGTAAGCACCAGTTTCAATGGGTGTTAGAAATGGAAGGACTTCGTATCTATCAAGAATCCTCTAGCAGTTCTATGACAGATGAATAGACCTATGGATCTTCGAAAGAAATGGCCTTCCCGAAGGTTTACCTTCAAATTATCTCCTTCCACCAAAACAAATTTGTACTCGAAACCTGGTAATCCGTGCATTCGATCCACGATTTCATGATGCAAGACGCTATAAGTGGTTCGTTTGAAAAGACAGAAAGAAAACATACTGCGTGGAAAATCCAACAATGTTGAAGTTCCTCGTCAAGGTTCACTCTCCGACTTACTGTAGGCACCAGCCATTTTATGCCTTAAGTCGATTAGCGCGTTTTCTACTAGCGACCAATCCTGGCTAATTGATTATTTTAGCCAATAGATAACGCGTTTTTCAAAGAACTAGTAGGGCTCTGATGAGCTGACATTTTTCTACATTTCATGTAACTGATTACCATCATATTTGTATTCCAACCGTTTATGGGTTCTCGAAACGTCTATTAAAAGTCAAACCCGTTGCTAAGAAGCCTACTTCTTAGTTACTTACGATTTTTGTTTTCTACCCCTCAGTTAGAGAAGTCAATTTGGGTAGATCAACTCCACGGATATCTGGAAACGGCATATGGAATGGTGGAGAACGCGTTAGCCCTCGGAGAGCGTAACAGCGTGGTCGATTCCCCCCGCAGACACCTCACGTCCTGAGTTTTGCAAATATTTTGGCATAAATGTAGTTCATTTCGGCATAGAGTTACTTATGTTGTTTCATGTGAAATCGATTAGGCTGCATGCCTTTTCAAACTAGATTGAACACTTGTACAACTACGCGGTCCCTTTGTTGTAAATGAATCATATAAGAGTCGATTTGTTCAGGGATGATGGGGAAACGTCTTCGTCTCGAGGAGAAATGCAAAGCGGACGAAGACCAGTTCGTAGAATTTAAAATGCATGAGAAAATCTCATTGTATGAGATTTCGGCGAAGTGTCAGAAATGGGAGAATGGTCGTCTGGTTCGTACTCTGCAACCAATTAGCAAGTTAGTGCTGTTAGTTTCATCATTTCATATTGAAGTCGTTTTATTTCTCTTTTCTCGTTTTCCTCTTTTTTCCTTCTTTTTTCTACGAAATTGTGATAAAAGGCCCAAGACCGACTTTCTGTTAACGTCGACATTCATCAAATAATTCACTATATTCTTATCGAGTTAACACGAGATGTTAGTTTCTTCGTTGTTGATGGTGAAGCTAACGTCTTGGCGGATCTCCCCTTCTTAAGGGCCTGCAAAGGTCAAGTGAACTGCAATCTAACCGGGCAAACACTTCCATAATCAAACAGAGAAGATGCTAAACCAAAGTTTCAATCCCATTGAAAGCCAAATAACCTCCTCGCCTCTTTTCGTCTGAAGGAGGCCAAAGCCGCCAAAATGTCACCATAACCGTCAATAAAGACTAAATAAGCCATGATAAGATTATCAAACACAAAATGGTAGAACGGAACTATCTCAAAAGGCGATCCGAATGTACCAGACGACTGTGTTTCTGCGTAAATATTTCCCACAGTTAGCATTATCGATAAAATTGGGGATATCCCTTTTGTACAGATTTGTTCACTGTCTTTGGGATCGATTTAGCAAGAAGAGTATTTTTCAAAAATCCACCTTCAGTGTTACTATGCGTCGCTCAAATTTGTCAATTATCACCTGTCGTGCCGTCGATGGTCGATTGACTCGAGCGGGCGCCGGTAAATCTTCTATTTTTCCCTGTCGCGTACAAGAGCAGCCCAGTGGGTTCTGCTCGCTCTAGGAACTTGTTGAGCAACATATCTTTTTTCTAGTCTTTTCGTGAGAACTCTGACCATCGGGTCGGTGGTCTTCAATATGTCAGTTAAAGCAGTTATTATCCATTGTACAGATAGCATTCATGTAACGAATGGCGAAGGCGTCTTAGCTTACAACGCGTGCCTAATTATGGCAGCTAAGTTTTTATTAAATGCTGTTGAACTTAAATCATATGAAAGAACAGGTTTAGAAGTATATTTATGCGCACCCATCTGCCAGTGTGCATACTGGTTTAGAAGGACTGACGATCTGAACTGTAGAGCTCCTGGATTGACAACACGACAAAGATTCTCTACCGCTTGCACCATATTTTTCTTCAACGACCATTGCGCGTTGAAGTACCTTTTTTTTTGTTATAGTGATCTGGCCCCTTTCGCAACTAAATTGCTTTTTCGATAACTGACAATAAGTCCACAACCACTGGAGCTTTTCAGGACTTCTGATCTTCAGCCCTTTATTAAGGAGACTTTGCTGTATCGTATTCATATATGATCTTTACACAGAGCCCTTTCGAATTAACATGTTTTTAAAGCTAAAACATTCAAAAAAATTGGTAGCAATCTCCGAGTTTCTAAAGTTTCCAACGAAGGAGTACGTGCTGCATCGATAAGCAGTACATTGGAGAATACCATCATGTCATTCTGGACAAAATCCCCCTTGTTCGTTTGCTTTCATGTTCGACCTTTGAAGAAATAAGGTGCAAGCAATATATGTTATGAGCTCCAGAAAACAAGAAGTTTGTTGTAGTAAGAAAAGAACTTTATTCTCTTGGTAGAGATCTACTTATTCTAATAGTTTTGATTACAATTGATATAACTCAATGTGAACAGAGATATCTTGATTTAGAGCTGAAGGCAGCGATTACTTCTGAATATCATGACTTCTATAGAGTCGTCACATACTGAAGTAACCTCATTTTCTATGAAGTGTTAAAGGTTAGAAGATAAAACGTTTGCCCTTGATCAACCCTTTGAAGTACATTCGACTCCATACGAATGATCGTAGAGGTGGTTGAACACAAATTTACTAGGATACTTGTGTGACCTGTCTTCAGTGGTTGTTCGGGCCGCATCATAGTTTTCATTATTTTGGGGTTTTCCTGGTTTATCGATTACCGTTCCCTGGAGCCCCAAGGTCAGCCTAGCCAAAGTCTACCCGGGTCGTCACCACCACAGGCCGTCGCCGCCCTTGTGGATCAGAGGGAGAAGGAGCATCATGCGACTACTTTCATACCAGGGCGGTGATGGATCCCGGTATTGGTTTACTTTTAGCTAGGCTTCCTAGTGGAAGCGCTGGGCTCCTCAACTTGGGAGACCTTGCTGTGGGCATGAAGCCCTCCGCTGTACACAGCAGCACGACATCCAGGAATACCTCACTTAGCCCACTCCCAGCCACGATGAGGCGGTAAACTGTTGGGAAGTGAACGTAAATTTACCCTATCCAATAGCTTGCGGTGTCTACCATTGATTAGGATATGTTTTCAGCTTGTTCAGCAAAAGTGGTGGGCTAAGTGTGGGAGTTTATGAGGAGTTTGACTGTAAAAGTGCTTCATACAATGAATGGACCATTTTGCTATTGGTGGTGATATTTAACATTCTCAATTTTCTAACATTTTAAAAATACTGTGTACAGCAACATTTTGCTCCAGAACAGTGCTTCGATCTTTTGGTATCTACTTTCTTAATTATTTAGGGGGTGAAGATCTCGTAAAAAACTCGGACCATAAGTAGTTTGAAACCGTTTGCAAACATGTTTATAGTCGTAGACTTCTCATTGGTCATTCGCAGTACCAGCTAACGTTCTGAATAGTTAAGAGTCTTACCACAAGCAGTATAGTGTCATTAGTTGTGAGTCCAGCGAAATTTTTACTACATCTGAATAGAAATGCTGTAGATTAAATGAACACAGGTTGAGATTTTTCCCCTTAGTTTTTCTCCCGAGTCGCAAGAGAGCCATCTTAACCTTCAACATGATCGAGAACATTTGACATTGATCTTAGAAGTCGTTTTAGGACGATATGTGCTTTTCTGAATACAAAAGGGGGCGTCATCTACGTTGGTATACGTGATAATAAGGAAATTCGCGGAAGAAGGTTCAACAGTGATATGGTAATCTATTCCAATATTTTAGCCTCTTCGTATTTACTAGTTGGTTTGAAGGCGAGGTCAGATTTAAATTTGTGTAAACTTTTAGTAAGTGTTAATATTTTTTTCTTTTATAGAAAGATCATTTCCTGATAGCAGTGCACTGTTGTGTTTCACGCTTTCATCCTCCTCTTCCGGAAGGGTGTATCAAAGGTATGGCGTAAATAACTGATTTAACCATCATATTAGACACATTTGAGACTTGTGTTAGTTGCCCAGTGGATTAGGGAGTTGGTCGGATCGGTCTTTTGTCCGCCAACTGTACGTGGAATGCTCGACTTTGTATGAATTCGCCACGCAGGACTTTTCTCCGTAACTGTCGTGAACCACCTCTAGTTTGGATATAACAGTTTATTGCAACAACAACGATAAAATAATAATGTGTGATATTTGACGATGAGTAACCTGGGTGATACGAGCGGGATTGAAATGGGAATAAGTACACTTGAGGGAAGCTGGGCGGACCCTGGAGTTGGAGCACTGGTAGCTTGGAAGGCAAACACTCGTCTCTAAGACTGCTAGAGCGCCTCCTATTTTGTCTATAATGGATGGGGTTTTACAGAGGGAGTTAGAGATAGTGCTGATTCAAGGCATGACACGGTACATGCGAAGTACATCAGATAAGACGGTATGCCAGGGGCTTGGTCAACATAGAAGTTGATCAGATAGCGAGGGAATAGCTCGTATAGAAATGTTATAAAAAACAACGCAAAGGCTTATTAAAACGTCATGTGAAAGAGATGAAATAGCTTGTACAAAGGCTTCTACTGGAAGTACATGTGGAAACGGTCTAAGGACTTATACATTATGAATGGATAGATTTAAGATATATGTATTCTTTTTTTTGACGAGCTTACGAAATATTACTACGCTTTGTACTAGATTTAAGATAGTTATAAGCAAATAGTTAGTATAGGAAATTTGTGATATTATAGAGAATAGCAACTATTTAAGGAATAGTTACTATAAGACTGTTGGTATAATAAAATTGTTTTGTCGATGTCAGGATTTTTTGTTTTCGCTTGAAGGCTTATTTTTAGCAGCTCTGATGTGTTGAAACCTGTCAATCTAAACATTTCTTTGTAATGAATTTTCCAATTTTCCTGAAGAATAAAGGATAAAGCTGTTGGCGTTGATCAATCCCAAAGGGATGCGACATGCATGCGTCTCCATTGGACATTGCTGGAAGGTGATTGAATGCATATGTGGCTTCTACCATGACCCGCTGTGGCCCACCGATGTTTAAACTCAGCGCTGCTATCCGCCCAAACAAACCTGGTACCAATTTTGAGATCCAGAGGGATAGAAGGCTTAACGGGTCATGGGTGTGGGGATCGATCCCATGTGTGTTGCAGGACGGCTCCCACCGCTGGGTCAGACGTACCATGCGGTAGTGTGGTAACAGTTCCTAAATCTTCAGCATGTTTTTTTGTTCTGTATCATTCCTTAGTACCCTTTATTTGTAATAGCATTTGACATTAGTTTAGCGGACACTTGCTGATAATTTTCAATGAATTTCTTTCCTGGATCGTCCCTTGATTTGTTGTATTGTAGTTGGATTTGTCGATGTGGATGGTTATGGTGGTGACGATAATATGAACATACCCGAGGTTACTTGGACAGCTACACAAAATTCTGTTTTTGAAGTTTGCTGCGAAAACAGCTACAGCAAAGCTATGGATGAATTTCAACAACTTATACCACAGGTACTTACCCAAATTTTAAACATGGTAAAATTTTTCATGTAAAATACGAAGCGGTTTTGATTTTTATCGATTTTTCGGATGTGGTTTATATAGTGCTAGCCTATGTTTAGAGTTTCTTCGTATATGTATCATAATTATCCGTAAAAGAACTGAAAAAAGGCTGTGTGTCTCCCAGTGGTCAGGGGCGTCCTGCAATACACGTGGGATCGATCCCGCGCCTCAGGCTCACCAAGCGCTCTATGCTTCCGGTGTCGGCAAATTGGTACCAAACTTGTCTGGGAGGATAACAGCACTGATACATTATAAAGGCCAGATATGCATTCAATCACCTCCAACGATGCTACAAGAGCTATATCCTTTATCCTTTTTAAAAAAACAGCTTAGCTCTTACCTTTTCACCTTGAAAATGGACGAAATTTAAACCTTCTAAACTGTTTGTCCGTATATGGTGTGCAAATCTGCCTTTAATTGCCCTAAAAGTTTCTATTCCAATTTAGTTTAGCTGTTCAAGTACCGGGCTTTCAATTTATCTGTTCCTATCTATAATTTTAAAAACTGGTACTTTTAACGAGCTTGGTTCAATAAGTGCAATTTATTTAGACAGGAGTGGATTACCATGTCATCGGAAGAATGGGTTGCTTATGTAAAAACGACCGAACAGACGATGCAAAGCTCTGTGTTGCAATGATTAAGGTATTGATCACTTCAGTTTTTTTGCTCATTCTTTATGCTTGACTAATTATGAGCAATAATGATAACAGTTCCCATGATCGGCTTTCTGTTAACTTTGGCATTGCTCCACAATTCATTGTTTTCTTGTTGAGCAGACACGATGATGTTTTTACTTGAGAGGGGCTTTACCCACCCATGTAAACTTTGTCTGGTTGGACTCCATCAGTACTAGGATTAGGTGGAATAATCATAGAAAACGGTGAATGTCTGAAAAATTTCTATCGCGATTGAAATCTAGGTTCCGCGCTTTTATTTTGAGATTAAGGAAGTATTTGGCTGATAAAATTGCAAATTGCCTCCCAATGGTTTACCGCCACATCGTGGTTAGGAGGTGTTCCTAGGTGTCGGACTGCCATGTACAGCGGGGAATCCATCACCTGGCAGGGTCTCCGAAGCTGGGAAGGAGTCTGGCGTTTCCATTAGGAAGCCTTGCTAAGAGTAAACCAGTATCAGGATCCACCACCGTCCTGGTACCAAGCCAGTAGCATAGTGGCAAATCTCCCTCTGATCCACCCACAAGGGCTACCACTGCCTGTGGTAGTGAAGACCTGGGGCAGATTTTGGCCAGGCTGACCTCGAGGTTTCAGAGAACCACAGTAGCTAAACCAGCGAGGCTCCGAAAAGTAGAGATTGCTCTGGGGCCCGCACAACCACTGAAGACAGGACATCCAAGTATCCAACTAAGTAATTGCACATCGACTTGACCTTTTCGGACTCTGAAGAAGAATTCGCCGAAACTTCAGCTATTATGAAAAAATGGTACGATAACGAACTCGTGTCTACTCGTCGAAAGAACAGTGAATATTAATAACAATGCATTCCGATAGCATAGTGGTTAGTGGTGCCTTGTGAAATACACGTGGTCCTTGGTTCAGTTCTGCGCACCGGAAGAACCAAACCTGCCTTCACGCTAGGATCATCACACTGGCTAGTGCCATACTTTTTCGAGAAAAACATTGACATGATACATCGGAAGACCACCGCTTATCATTGTATATGCCAAGTATACAAATATAGTTGCGGCGTTGAGCTTCCGACTTTATATGAATACCAAGTCATTGTGACTATTAGTTCTTGTAGCTGCCACGCGGGTCTTTTGTAAGTCGCTGAGTCGGACGCTGGGTTACAACTTTTATGTTAATAGTAGCAATAACAACAACAACAATAGAGCGAAGTATATGGACAAGTTAGGCGATTTGAACGAACTAGCTGAACACTGGACGAACACAGCGAACACTTGAAGACGAATGGCCGTGTGCTGTCTGTATTACTTATGTAATGGGTGGGGCTTTGCCAGAGGGAACTAGAGACAGCGCCTATAGAGTAGTTCTAAAGGTTTTTTCTACTATCACAATCTGATAGAGCTAAATGTGAAAGGGCGGAGCTGCTCGTTCGGAAACTTTTTTGGGATGGCAGATTCTGGAAAGTATATTCAGCTGACTGCTGCTGATTCAGTGCCCGAACTATCGGACAAAGAAGAGCAGTTTATTCAAAGAAGTTATAGAATCCCTTCCCAGCCCCCTGCGAGGCAACTGCATGAGATAATGGCCAAGAGATAATTTAGAGAAGATGCAAAGGTAGATTTAAGATAGTTATAGGTGAACAAGAAACATACACTAATATAGAAAATAGGAACTATTTGATGAATAGTTCCTATATCAAGCATCCCTGCGATACCACAAATAAGGTCAAATTCGTACACATCGAACTCAGTACACCCGAAAGATTGACCAACGCCGAACGCTTTGTACATCATTTAATGATAACACCGATAGGAGTAGCGGTATGAAATTTGTACCTTTTGCATTCTCTGTCAGAATCGTTTGAATTCTCCTGTTTCCATCTGAACGGAACTGATGCGATCGTTTTTATCAGTGCTGTAATGTGAGTAAATAAGATAAGGTTTTCGCTCTAAATATGGTATGCTTTTGTATTAATTCATTCATTTGTCTAGATTTGTGAGTCCTTCGATTGCAATGGTTGGTTTCAATAGGATTCTGTCAGGTGATAAAGCCTCCTGGTCATACGATCTACCAGAATGAAGAAGGACTTCCCTATTTTCGTCGTAATGGCTCCAACAGGATGATGACGCTCAACAGAGTCAACGCATACATAAATACCGATCGCATCATTGAGTAAGTTTTCATCCATCTTCTATTGAATTCCAGAAAATCTCAATGTTATTAAATTGTCAACTTAAAGGATCTGGAAAGATTGCTCAAATGGGCGAGTCATTGATAATGCGGCTTTTAGCGCGATAACAATGGTTCATTGCTTTGCGATATTGCTTCATTGCTTCCATTGTTGATAACAACGAAATATTAATGGAACTGCAGTTCATAGCAGGAGACTTATCTTCCGTGGCTTCACACGTTTTTTCATGATTACATGCTATCCAATTTGTCCTTCATTGATTATCGAGCGATTATCCTATGACACCCTGATACCGTATATCGGGGTTGTTTGAAGCTGTTACGAGCAATTTTTCGTCCACTGCAAACATTCTGTTTTTTGGCAATAAAAAATGATTTTTCAATAACTAGAGAGTGATATGGATTGTGAGCACAATAGAATTATAAAAGAGATTTTGCTTGTACTACTATAGTCCACAATACAAATGCATTGTCACCCTATGTTGAGTTCACTTCCGTGTTTTTCATATCCATACATTTCATCACCTGTCACCACTATCATTTGTGATCCCGTTGATCGTCGAGTGATTCGAGCGGGCGCCAGTAAATATTCCATTTTTCCCTGTCACCTACAAGAGTAGTCCAGTTGATTCTGCTCGCTCTAGGGTCTCCTTTGAGCGTGATACCTTTCTTCTAGGCTTTTCGTGAGCGACTCTGACTATCGGGTCGGTGGTCTTACTGCAGTACGTTTAACATGCCGAGGAATCCAGCCAATAATAGCTCTTGTCCATTGGTTGTCGTTCATACTCATTACGTGTCCAGCCCAGCTTCGACTGCTTGGCGTACGGAACAGCATCTTTGATCTTTGATCGTTGACGTAGTTCGGAGCGCCGAATCCCTTCCCTTCCTTGTGTGACGCGGGATACCCCTAGCATTGTCCTTTCTACTGCGTATTCAATAATGCTCAGTGATCCTTCACCCTGCTTACGCAGCGACCAAGTTCGTAACCTATAGGTTAAGGTAGAAAGTACTATTGAGTCGAACAGATGGGCACAGTGTCGGGTGTTCATTGTTATCATCGCTACATCCTCGATGCTCTTGAAAGCTCCCTATGCCACTCGTTTCCTTTTGCTCCACTCTGGAACTAAGTCGCTCGTCATGTTGATTTCCTGTCCTAGGTAGCCGTAATTAGAGCATTCGGAGATATTCGTTCCGTTCAGCGTGAATGGCGCATACATAACCAATCCGTTCCTCATGAACATTGCTTTTGTGAGATTTACTCGAAGACCAATCTTTCCACAGGCTTTATCAAACTCGGCAAGCATACGTTTCGCTTGGCTAATGTTTGGTGTTATAAGGACGATGTCATCAGCAAAGCGAAGATGGCATAATTGTCGACCATCAATTTTCAGCCTATTTTCTCCATTCCAGTGTTCGCATAACATTCTAGAGGGTGGAGGTGAATAATTTTGGCGCGATGACATCGCCTTGACTAACTCCTCTTTTCACGTCGGTTTTAATACCGTTGTAGAATGGTGAAATCTTGGTTGTGAAATTTTTTTACAGCTCACGAAGATTTTTTATGTACTGAGTAGCAACTCCCTGACTGTCCACGGCTTCCATGACTGCTTCTATCTCAGTTGAATCAAAGGTCTTCTTTAAATCGATGAAAGTGGGATAGAGCGGTCTCCTCCACTCTCACGATACTTTACTGAGCCTTCTTGTAATGTGTTCCATCGTGCTAAATCCTTTTCGAAACCCTGCTTGGTCACATGGCTGTCCTTCGTTTAGTGTTCTGTTACTCCTGTTTAGGATGCCTCGAGTGAAAAGTTTGTGGACGATAGACAGCAAGCAAATTGGGCGATAGTTGCAGATATCGTGTAGGTCACCCTTCTTAAACGATAGCACGATCTTGCTGGTCTTCTAATGCGTAGGAACGTTGCCTTCAGACAGGCAACGTGTGAAGAGCCGTGCCAATGTGTTTACGAGGACCTGCGGAACACTCTTCAGGTGTTCAGATCATATACGTCCGGACATGGTCTTGTTCGATTTTTCACCGACAAGATAACATGTCTGATTTTGCAAGAGAGAACTCTTGGTACGACATATCCATCCAATATTTCGCATGAACGAAGGAGGATGTGGGTATTGAAGATATCTGAGAAGTAGTGAAATTTTCTCCATTGGACGCTGTAACTGTTCCGTCTGGGCGTCGGAGTGCAATCATCTTTGTTTTGTAGATGAAGTTCCGTTGAGCTTTTCGAATGCTTTTCCCAGCCTCTGTAGCTTCGACCACCGCTGCTGCTCTTCTCTCCTTAAGATCTTCTTTTATCGCCTATCTGCATTGTTTTGCAAATTCGGACGTCAGCTGGCGGTTGCTGGTAGCTCGTGCGATTCCACTCTGGCTTGTCAGCTCGATTGTTTCTGGAAAAGGACGTCTCTTGGTGACCTTCGAGCTCTGAGGTTTCTTACCACTAACGTGAAAATATTGAATGAGCCGATCGTATTGCTCCTCGTCGTTATCGAGAATGGCGTCTTTTCAACAGCCGACTATTGAGTTGAATAAGTCCTAGTTTATAATGGTTTTGGTACTTCGTTTTTTGAATTAACTGGTTTTTCCTCCTTTCTGCGAGAAATGGAATCTTGCACCAAGGAGGCGATGGTCTAATCCCAAGTAGAATTTTGGGACAGCAACGACATCGGTTAGGTAAAACATTCGGTTTACTATGATGTGGTCTACTTCGTTATGGTACTCTCCACTGGGAGAATCCCACGTCCAGCTTTGACGGTGGGGCTTCTGGAATTGCATGTTAGCATGGGTGCTCTTGTTCGTCGTGATAAACTCAGACGGCTGTTCCTAATGTGACGTTTTTTAGACGTTCTTCTAGGTCAAATCTTAGCGTTAAAATCTCCATTGATGACCTTGAAGAATGTATGGTCTTGTTTGTAGAACTTCTCCAAGTCCATATAGAACACTTCGGCTTCTTCGTCATAGTTTGATTTCAGCGCATAAACGACGAAGATTGTCAAAGTTGGAATTGATCCACATCTTTTTAATCGTAAACGTCCGATTCAGATTAGAAATTGTTCGAATGAATCAATGTTTATGGGAAAACTCGTGTTGACGAAAACGCCAACGCCGCTGACTCCTTTCCTGTCCTATGTTCGAAGGAATAAGTTCTTTTCCAGTGTCATAGATGGCGTTGAATGGGTGGTGTCGTCTTGTCTCGGCCAGGCCGATGATATCGTACCCTATCCTTCTTGCTTTTATGACCAAGTCTTCTGTCTAGGACTCGGATGCAAGTGTTCCTGCATTGTAGGTACAGATCGTCACCTTAGTTCTTTGGGATCCATTTATTTTTAATAAAGGATAATAGCGCGTTCGTTCTCCACCACAGATAACTGCGGTCCTGAATTTTGCAAATATCTCAGCATCATAGAAGTTGTGTTTCGCAACATATCCTGCCATTAAAAAGAGTAGACTGTAAATAAAAAAGGTTGAGATTGTGGTTACAAGTACAACCTGAGCTTAGTTGGGGTCATTGCCGATTTGGACTCCCAAGATCAGTCCCGCTGACGGATGATTGCTGATGGCAGTGATCGATAGAGCTAGCTGAAGGAAGGGCGAAACGAAGAACCAGCATGGTGTGGTGGTGAACGCGTTACTCACAGGAAAGGACAATAGCACTTTCGTTTCTCACCATAGACACCTGCCGTGCAAAGTTTTGCAAATATCTCAGCATTATAGAAGTTAACTGTTAGTCAAATTATTGTTCAATGAACTTTTCCTAGGAAAGGGTTTTAATAAATCATTAAGTGTAGAGAGTGGTTTCCTGGTGTATCTTCTACTATTTTGATCTGCTTTCGATTAGTTATCCATTGAGTATACATTGCGGTGGAAGAACACACTAGAACCCACTAAACTCAATATAGTCACAGAGCGCGTGTATCGCAATGCTGAGAGGCACACTGCTATACGCATGGGATCGATCTCTGCGCACCAAGTTCACCAAGCCTTTTATTCCTCCTGAGTCGCCAATTTGGTATCAGACTTGTCTGGGAGGATAGCAGCACTGACTCGATACATCGGTAGGCCACCGAGAGTCATTGTAAAGGCCAGATATGGATTCAGTCACCTCTAACGATGCTTGTTGAATCGAATGCAAAGCGCATCCCATAGAGATTGATCGATGCCGAGAGCTTTATCCTTTTTATGGTCACTCTGGTATCCATATGGTCGTTGTTCGCTATGGACTCTTTGGTGTTCATATGGGACGTTATGGGTTAGAGCAGGTCCTAACAGTCTCCCTTGAGACTTGTCGTGCTCTCGAGTTGCAAAGCGGGTACTGATTGCTGAACGATCTTGGTCAACATATTCTCGCCTTGACGATCTCTGTTAGGAACATTGACAACCCAAATTAAGCGTTTGATCTTTTGTAGGAACCAGTCGCTAGCGATTCCTTACCGCGATTCTTCTTAGGCTTCACGTGTTTAGTCCATCGAATTTTCGACATCAAAACTTTGTTTTCAAAGCGACTTAGACTGATGAAAAATTGAGAAAAGGGTACAAAGTGTGCTGAAGAACTGTGAATGCGCAATATTCCTTTTAGAGTGCGTCGGCTTCCAATCTTTGTTGAAGCTTAAGTCTATAGAGCGAAAAATCTTCTCAAATTGTGAGTGCAGGCTTGGAATATCTGCAGTACTTGTTTTTCAGCCAGCATAGGAAGCCTATCTCTTTCGCTACTTTTCTGTCTATAACTGGAAAGGTTCTTCATGCCGTTCGAGGAATATTTCAGCTGCAAAGATAGTTGTGAGAAATGGTATCTTGTCATGCCGTCAGTGATGTATTCTTTAGTGAACAATTTTTGTTTATCCTTCATGTTCCATTCGCTACGAAATATGGTAACAAATAAAGTTCGGTATAAAAAGGCAGCTTTGATAAATTGAAAAATTCAGGTTACACATTTCTTGTCGTCTTATTTTTCGTTTATCGTTAAAATCGTCTTT